CTCTCAAAATGGGTGGCTTCGATTTGTGCCTTTCAGCCAGCCCCAAACAACTCCAAAATTAATCACATGTCGGTGGCTCGTCTTGTTTTGGAGTTGGTAATTACCTCCTTTATGGTGGGTTTTCCAGGACACCAAAAGGAACCCCGATTTGTTTTGGGGAGGGCGGGTTCAACCTGAAACAAGAGGAGCCAATCATGTATTTATTCTTTTTGCCCCTTTGTGGAAGGGTTTTCCAGGGAAACGGAAACCCACCTTGATTTATTTTTCTGAGGGGGCCCTTTAAAAACAACAAACAAGTCACGAGGAGCCCACGTCCGTGGGTGGGGTGGGGGACACGTCACACGTCCGGGCTCGCCTTAAAGTACTCCGTGCCCTTCCGCGCGGTGTTCTGCACCAGCACCGCCCGCCGGGCGCTGCGCTGCATCAACGTGAGCAGGTCCTTCCGGAGCGTAGCGCAAGCCCTGCCTCCGGTTGCTGAAGTCTCCAGGAAAAAATGAACATCATGTCCAGTAGTAGATTCTAGGTCCTCCAGTGGCTGCTGAAGCAAAAGGGGGGTCAAACATGCTTTGAAGAAGAAATCCCAGGTCCTCCAGTGGAGAGGTGAGAATGAGGGTACCCTGTTTTCTGTAGTCTACTTTAGTAGGGGAACCTCAGTACTTGGTTGACGTTGGAAGGGAGCAAACATTTTTCACATTTGAGCAGTTCAGTGAGTGGGGATTTCAACCACTAAACCACAATAGGCAAAAATGTACAATGTTTCCCAACCACAACCATGAGTAGTAGATTCCTTTTAAAACCAAGAGGGGGAATTCAAAACAGAACCATATCAAGCAAATGGGAGCCAAGGAACATGAGAAAAACATGGGGCCCGCGATTGCCACGTGGTGGAATTTGAAACCTGGGGGGAAAAAACCCTCCAAGGCTTGTCAGGTTCTCGAATCCCCTACCCCGCAATTCTCCCGTTTCGTGCGGACACACGCTCTGGTCCAGGGAATTTAATATGGGAGGGAGATGGGGGGGGGTATCCCTACTTGGGGTTTCCTCGGTGTTGTTGTTCCATGAGCAGAGAGGGCCTCTGGTCTGTTTGGCCATTTGTGGTGGGAGCTTTGTAGTGCGCTGGAATCCAACTTGGGCAAATCGTTTGGGTTTTGGCCAAGCCGTCTGGGATTTGGTGTCAAGCCGTTTGGCTCACCTCTGGTCACATGGTTACGAAGCTACGGATTACTCACGGGGATCACGAACAAACCTTGAGGGCACCAGAGCCGAACATTTGAGCCGCTTCTCTGGCAAGGGTCGCTCGCCCCGCTGAATTGGGGAATTGAATTCGATTGGACATAGAGAGTGGCTTCCCCAATTGTCCCGCAAGAACACAAGCCACCCAACTCAGGGTGGCGTGAGCTAGGGAATCAACTAGGAAACTTAAGCCCAAACCATGTATATACACTCGTTCTCGTCTCACATAACCAGAGGACCTGGAAATCAAAGGTCAATCTTGTTGGGGTCGGCTCGAAAAGTAGAGGCAATAGGAAAAGGCAAGAAGTTAAAGATGGCAACATGCCGACTCTGGGCAAGTAAGTTGTTGACTAAGAAATTAACGTGAGAAGCAAAATCCTCAACAGTATCAAATGGTGGCTTAAGGAAAACCATTGGGTCCCAAATGTAATTTTGAGAATGCCTCAAACAGCAACCACTTGAAGTTGAACCCCACACCCGCCAACTTAGTAAACAAGCTACAGCCATACCTGAATCCTCCAGGTGTGCATGGATCCCTCCTTGTGCCAAACAAGCACAAAGCTCAGTCCTTTCGTCGAAAAAAACAAAACAACTTTCCCTGCAAAAGTGTTGTTTCAAATTTGGCAGGGAACATGTCGGAGAAAGTGCCCCTTTGGTCGGAGTTTGTCGCCGTTTGGTTGGGAAAGTCGTCGTTTCGCTTCGTGGATTTGTCCTCAGAAGAGTAGACCAATGAACAGTGCCTGGAGACGAAATAAGTGTGTCGTTGGTCTGAAAAGCAGCTTTTCACGAAAAGGCATGGCAAATACACACTTTGGAAGATCCAGGTATACCCACCCCCTGTCCCATTAAAGGACCCACTTTCAGGGACCCCTCAGTGACGAAGACGGCCCCTTCATCCCTGTGAGAGTCCTCAAAGAGGTGCGGCTCGTAGAGGATGTCGCTGCCGATGACCAGGTCAAAGGCGTGGCCGAAGGCGCCGTTTGCCTGGATCACTCTCCCAACTGCCTTGCGGGGGAAGGGGTGGGGGGTGCCCCCAATTCCATTCTATTCCTCAAAGGGAAATGGAACCGCGCATGGAATTCCAGGGGTCCCCTCCCCCAATTTCATGTTTGGGGGGGGCTTGGGATCGCTGAAGTCAGATGCATTCAGGAAGTTGGCCCAAGCCACTGGATTTGGTGTGTGCTTGGCTGACTGCTTCTAGAATTCATTTCCTGCCGGATGCTATTGCAAAAGCTTAAGCCAGGACGCGGCTTGCGCCGGGGGCTTGCGAGCATGGGTTGCCAGATTCGTGGTGCTCTCCCCATCCTTAGTTCTTCACTTATAGGTATCCCAGCTCATGCGACCTCTGGGATTCAATGTCCAAAAGCTGTCTGTTGATCAACCGGCCTTGGTTTTGAGCAGCTTGCCTGCATCTTCTGGGGCCAAATCGCTTCGCTTACCAGGGGTAGGATCTTCCAGACGGCCAAAAAATGAACAGCGGGCCATATCTCAAAATGGGGTCAGCGACGCTGAACGCCCCAAAATGCTTGGATATCATTCAGGTTGTTCTTTAAGCACCCACCAAAAAGAAGAGGTGGATCTTTGCGCCCCTGGATCTTCCTGAGTAGGTCAACACAAGTCCCGACTTCTCCTTCGCCAGCAAAGTGATCTTCCGGAAACCGGAATGAGAGGCTGGCCTCCGTCCAATCCAGGTCCAGCACCTGCACAGATCCTCCCGCGGCTTCGATGGCCGCGGCATTGAGGGCCGCGTTGTGCTGCAAGTTCTGGAACGTCACCTGGCCAGGGATCCTTTCATTATACACCTGCACATTGCAACTTGTAAATGGTGGTTTCCAACTTGATTTTGGTGTTGAAAAAGCCACACGTCTCAAGTGGTTGCAAAATGTTTTTCTTTTCCGGAGCCCTGCTGGCGGAGTTCGGAGATCGCCTCGGTTCGGCCGATTCCTCTGGAGCCCAAGAGCTTGGCTGGAGCGATAGCTCGGCGTTGGTCCCCTGAAAGGGAAAACTAGTTGGATGGTTTGAAGGGCTCATCCCCTCGCTTGCTGAGCACCGGCAAGAAAAGAAAAGACCCCTTGGAGGGTTTGCAAAAGTCATCCCCTGATTCCCAGCCTATCGCACCAGCAAGAACAGCGGGGGGGGGGGGCCAAAAGGGGATTCCTCTAGAAAAATGACGTTCAACCAGGGGTATCTTTTATCCAACAATGGCAGTGGACAAAGGCAACTTTTTGAAAGGACTGGAATTGGTCTTTCAAAACTCTCCCAACTTCCGTGCATGTCGGGCAAAGGCTAAATGCACATCTCGCAGACGCAACGAGACCCATGGTTGCGGAAACAAAACAAACTTTCTGGCATGCCAAGGTGGGATGTCCGTGTCCATATAACTCATGTTGTTCTGTTCGGGTGGAGTCCCTTGGCATTGCAGACAGTGGCCAACTTCAAGCTGTCCACAACCATGGTCTCGGATTTCTGCGATTTTGGTTCAAATAATTCCCATTTCCAGGAGACCCTCCGAAAACTAGGGCCAGGAGTTTCAGGAAAAACAACAACAACAACAACAACAACCAAGACTTAGACTTTTCCAGAAACATATGACACATGCCGCGTTCTTTCCCCTCATCGACTCTTAGCTCTTCGGGGGGGGATTATTTTTGGGCATGGTCCAGGGGGTCTGATCTGACCTTCTTGGATGTGAAATCCACTGAGTCGGGATCGACACTGGGTGTCCTTTTGTGGTGGGCTTAAAGGGGAGCCAAGTGGGAAAACCAAGGGGAAACCAGGGGAAACCATTTTGTGACTTAGGGGACCCTTTTTGGGGGGGTCCAACCTTTAAAAAGAAACAAAACGACCCGGACCCATCGAAAAAAAAAAAAAAAAAAACCACGACCCGCCCCCCCGCCCCTCTCCCGTTTCGCCCTCTCGCCTCGGCGCCGGCGTAGGCGTTGCGCGTCTCCGAGACCACCACCCGGCGCTGTTGGGCGCTCGGCTCGCTGGCGAGCAGAAGGCCAGTGAGGCCCACGCCGGCGCCCAGCTCCAGCAGGGACTGGGCCTCCGAGTTCTGCAGCACCTCTCGCGGTGGTCAAAACCCAGAGACTGAAATTTGTGTCCATACTTTTTTGAGGGTACCCCTTTTTGTGGTGGTGGTAAGGAGGACAAGCTCCGGAGGTTTGTCAATTTGTGTCAATACTTTTTTTTGAGGGTACTGGTGAACATCAAAGGTGGCAAATGGATCTTCATCCGACAAACAAATGGAGACATAGGTTTTGCCCCATGGCCACCTCTCGCAGCAGGATGCTCCCGGTGAGATATGTTGAGCAAGAGAGGTTTGGGTTTAGGTTGGGGTATGGCAAAAACCCATCCAGGTTTAGCTTAGCTTGGTTTGGTGGGATGGACAAAACCCCATCTAGGTTTAGCTTGGTTTGGTTTAGTTTGGCGGGATGGAAAGAAAACTGGATCTAGGTTTAGCTTGGTTCTTGTAAAGATTCCCTCTAACCTCCAAACCACCAACCGACCCCAACTAGAGTGAAAGCCAGGAAGGTCTGAAAAAGGGCACAACAGGAGGGTTTAGGTCTTGGTTTGGGGTTAGGTTTGGGGTTTGGGGATGGAAAGACTCATCTAGGAGCTTGGTTTAGTTTAGTTTAGTTTGGTGGGATGGAAACCCCCCATGTAGGTTTAGCTTAATTTAGTTTAGTTTGGTGGGATGGAAAAACCCATCTAGGTTTAGCTTGGTTTAGCTTAGTTTGGTGGTATGGAAAACCCCCATCTAGGTTTAGCTTGGTTTGGTTTGGTTTGGGGATGTTTAGTTCTGGATCTTGTAGAGAGAACCTCTAACCTCCAAACCACCACTCCAAAAAGCAAACTAGAGGGAAGCCAGAGCGGCCTGAAAAAGACAACAACCAATCCAGGGGGTCTGGAAAAGGTGTAAAAAACAGGGGTCTTGCTGTTTCTGTTTGGTTTGAGCGCTTTCCTCTCCCCTTGAATGCAGAAAATCAACAGATCCGCATGGCCTGTGAGTTGTTCGGTGGAATTCATGCGTCCAACTTTGATCAGTTTCCTCGTGACACAAACTTTGCCATTCCCCCTTAAACATGTGTTACATAACGTTGCTAAAGAGCCTCCCTTTGCTGGGCAGTTCAAAATGGGTTGGGTTGGCCAATCCGATTTTCCATAATCCCGAAAGGGAAGCCACTACAAAGGATTTGGACCGGTTCGTAACTCAAGACAAGGATCTTCCTGATTACCTTTGAACAGTCCAGCTTTGGTTCCTTTTGGCGAACACGTTCTTGCAGATCTCCAACACGCTTGCTCCGGAAAACCAATCGTCAACCCGGCAGCGGGGCGTTCGAGAGAAGTTCGGACTCCCAAGTTGAATCGGATTCCTCCACCCAAATGAGAAAGAGTTCCTGGGGTCTGGGGTTTCTCTTGATCCACCTGGTCTTGTTTCCGATGGTTTCCTTGCCCCAGAAGAATCCGGATCTGTTTAAAATCTGAGTGGGTGGGCGTGCAGGTGACTGGGCGACCTCTTGACCCACCTCGTATTGAAATGAAGGGATCCGCACTTTACGGGGCATGCCCCAGAAGGGATGTCACATGGTCAACCTCTTTTGACGCGTAGACCAGAACAACAACACAATCATAAGGCAGTGAACCTGGTGGCAACCCAACCTGTCCAGGCGAAAGCCCCAAGAAATATTGGTATAATGTTCAGACCGAAGTCATCAAGTCTAGAGAGACAGCCGAAAGTATTGAATCTGCTTTGACTCCGCTTCAGAGACCACTGATAGAACCCTCTGGAAACCTTTCTGTGGGCTACCAAACACCAAACACGAGGTGATGGTTCAACCAAAGCAACAAGGGAACATATACTCGACACCAATGTCAAGCCGAGAAATACTGCAAGTAGAAAATAAGGAAAACCCTGTAACTTACCACAAATGATCAGGGATTCGTGGTCGGATGAAATTTGTTGGTTAGGGAATGAACCGTATTCTTGAAACAACGACCCTTTCATGTCCCGTTTGAACCTCACTTTCAAGGCCCAAAAGGATGCATTCCTTGCAAATCAACGTGGAAAGTGTCGCAAAGGGGTCCTAACAGCGACTCCTCTACAAACCATCTGCAAGTGCCGCTGATTGACAAAATCCATCCTCCAGGTGCGTGGACCCATCGAGCCCACGAGAAAAAATGATGGTGCTCAGCAGGGAATGAGGGAATGACCCCTATAAACCATCCCCTATTGGTTTCCTTTCAGGGAATCCCAGGTTCATTCCTTCATTCCCTGCCTATCGCAGCAAGAAAACGAAGAGCCTCACCTTCCAAAGCAGCCAGGCGCCGCGCCAAACCTCGCGCAAGAGTTGACTCCGTTGGTCTTTTTCCTGGGACATGTCTAGGCCATTGCTACAACCTCCTTGAACTCCCTTTAGCAGGAAGAAGGGTCTGTCGGTCTCCAGGGTTTCGGCAAGTTTCATGTTTGAAGCCCTCAGGAAGTGAGTGGAGTGACCAGTCGTTGGCTTGTGTTTTTTCACCAATGGTGATCTTCCCAAAACCATGGCATTCAGAATCTTGGGAAGCGAGGCAAAAGCAACCTCGTTTGGGTTGCCTGCAGCGACAAGAGTCTTATTCAATGCCCAACCATGGTTGTATCAGTCGCAGGCTGTCAAAAAAACATACACTCTGCCAAGACCCAGAAACCCACAAGGAAACAAAAGACATGTATCGTGGGGAAACATGCATGGGGTGGGTGTAGCAACAAGCCGGAATTCCCGACAATTGTATAGCCGCCAAAATGGGTCACGCCCCTTTCAACTCCATTCAACTAAAGCAACTTGAAGGAAAGGAAGCACTCAACAAACAAAACTCCTCTGGATCCCTGATTGAATATACAGACTTGAGCAATCCCTCCAGAAATTTATCTAGGGATCCGCTTGTAGCAGTCTTCCAGGAGAACCCGCTTGACAAAACTCAGAACAGTTTTCGTTCAAAAGACACACCAAACTACTAGATGAGTTTTGGATGAACCCCCAAAAGGGCAAACCGCATTTTGAACACCTACCACAAACACCAAGAAACCAACAAACTGACATTTTGAAAACCAACAAACACCTACCACCTGAACCGCGCGCCTTGCTGCCCACCGTCTCCGGCAGCTCGCGAACAAGCAGCGGCGGTCCAAGCGCCGTTGGCTCGTCTAGGCGCAGGCTCACGTAGCCTTCCTCAGGCGGTGAATCCACGTCAACCTCTCCGGGTGTCCCACCAAAACTAGTGAGAAGACCACGAAAATCCGGGGATCGACTCAATCGACTCAATCAACTCACCGGAACCAGGCACCAGCCGAGTTTTTTTGGGGACCGAGGTGCCACTTCGCGATCCAGCTGTGCCTCTAGACGCTGATGGCACAGCAGCTGCCAGGCGACCGTCTGCTCCTTTCGAGAAACAGTGTGTGTTGTGTGTGTGTGTGTTCGTAGGCTTCCATTTGGCTGAGACCCCTGGAAAAAATGAAAATACGGGCTTGAACATTCCCCACAAGGCTCTTAGGTTATGGTTCCCTCATGGTGACATTGCCATCCAACATAGGTTGCCTAAGTTCTGGAATCCTTCCAAACCTCAAAAAAGCAGAGGAAGCTGTTCAAAGGCTACTGCGTATGTCCCTTGAAAGCTCCCCTGCGAATTATTGGACCAGACAGGGGTATCCAAACAAACAGCTTCCTTTATGCAGCATGGCTTTTCAGGTAGGCACGCTTGCAACATCATGTTTCTAAGAACGGGCACCGGGGATACAGCAGGGTGGCTCGAAAAGCTACTTAGGATGTAAAACCCAGGAATACACTCAGGCGAAGGACAAGGTCAGCACTCACAAAAACAGAGTGAAAGCGAAACCAGCTCCTTAGGCGTGGTCAAACTGAAACTCGCTTGCCCGGTCTGCATTGAGGGAAACTGAAGGAAACGTCAACTACCAGGGCTTCATCTCATTTCGACATGCCCCCATTTAGAGGATCCACCGCATCTCTGCCTGACTCCACGATCCAAAATCGTTGGCTACAACTTCTCAAACACTGCGCTTTCCTATGACGAAAAAGGCCCTGTGAACTCTTCATGAAAAGATCTGTGATACAGAAGCGGGGAGGAGGGATTCCATACAATTACTCCTAGCAACAGTACTAGAAACAACTCCCACCTCCCGATTCGTTCGTGCATGTCAAAGCTGGAGATCAGTTTCTACTTTCCTGGGCTGTCCAAACTGATCCCCTGCTACATTGGTGGGTTAAATGGAAACCCAAACCACTAAAACCAACTAAAACCGGGGAACAAAAGACCTAAGTAGCTGGATGGCCGGGAACCGCCCAGTTTCTGCTTCCCGATTGAAACCATTCTTTCCAAATATTTTTTCGAGTTCGCAATTACTTCGACCCAGCTCGCAGCCATTGGCCCAGGATCGGGTTGATGTAGCGCAGGTTCGTGCTCGCGGCCTTGAGCGCGCTCTCCGTTTCATTTGCGCTGTTGTCCAGGTCCGTGAACCAGCTGCCGCGAGCCTGTGGCTGCCAATGGCCTCGCAGACCGCAGCGTCTCCAAGGCCCGCAGTTTGTAAGCCGCCTGGATCTCGGGAGTCATCCACTGGCCTGGTTCCACTTCTTTTTGAGGACGACGATTTAAGGATCAACCGGGTAATTACGTGAAATCGACATCCTCAAAACCACACTCTAAAATCAGTGGTTCAATACAGGAAGCCCAACTTCCAAAACACATTTGTTTGAGAACTCTTCAAATGAACAATTACGGACCCAGCTGAAAGCTCCGCAGTTGCTTGCCAAACCTTCAAACCGCTCGGGACCGCGTGCAGCTCCGTGCCTGGTCCGCAACGCTTAATGGGAACTGGAGCTGCACGCCTTCCGGCAGCCCATGGGGCAACCTGAACACCAGGCGACGTTCCGATGGGCTCGGCTGTTTTAAGGGTTGGGCGCCCCAAAAATTTGTTTGCGGTTTTCCTGTTGGCCTGCCTTTGCAAAGCACCAAAAATCGGTGCCCTCAAGAAAACAAACACCCCCAACTCCCAATGTTTCAGAGATGGGGTGACACTACCCGAGGAAAAGCGTGTGAGGGAAGCAGCAGATTGTCATGGACTCCCAAACAAACTTCCCCGCCAAAAGGAGCTTCCTCTGAGAATCAGGGTGTTTTGGGTCCATGTTATTTTACGTCAAGATGACTGTCAAAATATGGAGCAAACATGCTGCTCCTTTTGGCTTCGTTCTAAGGTGAGCAGGGCACCCTCAAACAAGCACCCCGCCGGGGAGCAACAATACACCCTCCCACCAATTAACATTAACATGCAACCTGACAGGGGGTCCTGGAAGACCATTTGCCGTTTAAAGTTTAAAGGGACCGGGTCCCGAACGTCAGGTTCCATGTGAAAAGGGTGGGAGGGAACCTTTGGTGAAAAGTTGCTTTGCTTTTAAGTACATAAACCCCTGTTTATTAATTTGGGGGTGCCCCTGGTTTTAGTGGGGATTTATCACCTTTGGAGGGGAGCACCAAATCGGGGTGTATTAATCCGGGGTCAACATTACCTTGGCAAGGGTCCAGTTACCAGTTGCTTTATTTTGAAGTACAAGCCGCTGGGTGCTGAGCGCAGCCGACGCTGGAGTGTACAGCAGCAGCCGCGCTCTGGGCACTGGTTGGGTCACCTGGCAGAACCGCACACCTTCAGACACAAAACCTGAGGAACTCCCTCCAGAAAACCCATAACTTGTCTTCCTCTCAGATGCCCAGCGGCCATGAGGGAAAAAAAAAAGACACCATAAGACACGCTTCCCCAAAGAAAAGCAGGGGAAGAAGGGAGCAACCCGGGCCAGAGGGTTTTGAAGCCCAGGTGATGCCAACTGCAGAGAACCGAAGCGCCCAAGATGGAGGTTGATCATCCCAAGTGGACCTTACGCGTGCGAGCAATTTTCCGACGGAAGCAACCAAGAAGAGGCCCTACCCATCGAATGCGGAGGCGTTTCCTGCGAGCGTTTCTGGCGGCAAGCCTGCGACACGTGGGCTAAGAGCATGACCAACAGAAGCCAAGCGACCATGTGAGACATATGAAGCAGCTTCCCCAAGGTCCTTTCGAGAACTGGCGTTATGACGATATGTCTCAACGCAAAATCAAATAACACCTAGATGTTAGACACACGTACTTGTTGAGTGGATCTGTCAACGGATCACTAGATATCAGTACATTCAAAAACCTAACGTTCCACGTCCAGCTGCCACGAATAGAAACCATACGGACACCTGCGAAGTGGGGGTCCCGAACCTAGTTGGAAGCACGCATGGAGCAGACAGCCCAAGACAGTCAACTTAGTTGGCGCTAATATAAGCCCAACAGATTGGCGGGTGGCATAGCAGGTATCCCCCCCCCACCCCCGCGCCCCCGTCGCCTGATGCCAAAGACCATCAGCTGCACGGGCAACAAGCAATGGCCACATCAGCGGCAGTTCTAAAATTTGGTTCTGCGCGATTTCACGCGTGTGACATGGCTGTGGGTCAAAACCCTGTACCCCTGGTGAACAAAATAGGTGGTATATTGGTGTTCATCCGCCCCAAAATGGAGGCATAGGTTCTGACCCATGGCCACATGTTTTGTCGTCAAGCATCGTTTGTATGTGCATGTAGACATATTTATATTTTATGGGTCGCACACAATGCCATAAATGTCTCAAAAACAAAAACACGGTTGTTGCTCGCCAGAAGTCGGGGCATGCCCTTTGGCCAACGCATCTTCACACTGTTGCTGTGCGCATGAGTCACATTGCCAGTTGGTCGTTTTGGGAATGACCTGAATATATACTACAAACTTAAACCCTTCACGAAAAGGTTCTCGGGGATTGTGGAATCGGGCAACCCCCTATGTACCATGTAGCCCCCAAAAACCCAAAGAACACCTTCGCCCGGGTTGCTTCAGGACCCGCAGCTTTGGGCTGAAGAGCCCTCGGTTCAGAGCCGCGACGCATGTGAACTATCAACGACCAACTGACCATCCACAAAAGAGGATTGTCCACCCAAACTCATTGAGCTGAGTTGGGTAAAGCTCCTCCATAAGCTCTCCTTACAACGTCTGTGCAAGGGACAGCGTTTGGGAGGGGGTCCGATACCCACCCTCTTCCATAGGGGCTGGGGATGTCAGCGCGCAAGCGGCAAGCGACCAACCTTCACTTGGGACCATATACTCCCCTACAAATTGACATGAACATGAAGGGCTTTTGCAAAAGGACATTGTTCCAAACATTCTGGTTTGTCGGTCCATGTTGATCTGCAGGAGAGTGTATCGTGCAGGAGTGGTTGCATGATGTTCGACACACGCTAAAAGGGAAGCATGAGCCGTACGCAAGTTCTAAATGCAGCCTGCAGTCGAATGGTGCCCAATGGGTGAGTTCGAACCCTCAAAAACTCTAACATGTAGCCTGCGGGTCCAACATCACTTTCGGAAGAGGTACATCTCCAACACTGATTTGGAGCAGCAGGGGACGCCATGGGCATATTGTGGCGGCCCTTGAGCCCGTTAAAGTCACTAGTCACCAAGCTGCAGGGCTGTGGGAAATGACCACTTCTGTGATATAGCAAAAAAGGGCCTCCCAAAGACTAACCCCCCATGTAAAGAGGGGATTCCCTTGTATCACAGAAGTGGTTGGATAAACCCCGAGTGATCCCGCAACGCTGCCAACCTTCAATGGCTCCCCTTGCTCTGAATCCTATCTTCCGGAAGCTCCCAAGCGGACAGGGCTTCCCCGCTTTCGTCGGCGAAGACATTGTTTGGGCTGCTTGTGGACAGGTGTCGGAAGGGAAGCCATGCGAGCTCACAATATATATATATATAATATGTAAGTATATACACTTCTATTTCCCCAGATAGCTGAAAGCTATAGGGGTTCTAACTTCTATTAAAGAAGGGAAAGTGATTTGCGAGATTGAGGGCCGGGTGCTGGGGGGCATGCAGTTTGGGGTGCTGGTGGAGGTGCCGCTTTGCGAGATTGACGGCCGGGTGCTAGGGGGCATGCAGTTTGGGGTGTTGTGTTGCGAGATTGACGGCCAAGTGCGAGGGGTCATGTAGTTTGGGGTGCTGGTGGAGCTGCTGTTTTGCGAGATTGACGGATGGGTGCTAGGGGGCATGCGGTTTGGGGTGCTGGTGGAGGTGCTGTTTTGCAAGGTTGACGGCCAAGTGCTAGAAGTCATGTGGTTTGGGGTGCTGGTGGAGGTGCTGTTTTGCGAGATTGACGGCCGGGTGCTAGGGGGCATGTAGTTTGGAGTGCTGGTGGAGGTGCTGTTTTGCGAGGTTGGTGCTAGGGGGCATGCAGTTTCGGGCGCTAGTGGAGGTGCTGTTTTGCGAGGTTGACGGCGGGGTGCTAGGGGGCATGCAGTTTCGGGTGCTGGTGGAGGCGCCGCTTTGAGATAGGGGGCATGTAGTTTGGAGTATTGGTGGAGGTGCTGTTTTGCGAGATTGACGGCCGGGCGCTAGGGGGCATGCAGGCTGGTGCCTGTGCTGTTGAAGGCGCTGATGGACACCGGGGGGGCACTCAGTTTGGGGTGCTGTTTGAGGTGCTGGTGATGGTGCAGGCGCATTCTTGCAAGATTGATGGCCACATGCAGTTTGGGGAGCTGATGCAGCTGTTTTGGGGTACTGTTTGGGGTGCTGTGCGTCGGAGATTGCCGGCGGGCTGGTGGCAGGGTGCTAGGGCGGGTGCTGTTTGGTTGTCGCAGCATCATCATGATGCCGGCCGCAGCATCATGATGCTGTCCGCAGCATCATGATGGTGTTGAACCGATTCGGACGTTGTTGCTGCTTTAACTGTCGCGCGTAATGGTTCGTGGCTGGTGTATCATCATGATGTTGTCCACCACATGTTGTCAACCACATCATGATGCTGCTGCAATCGCTGCAATGCCGCGTTATGGTTCGTGGCATAATGCTGTCAGCATCGGGATGATGCTGACTTTCATTACACGATGATTTGTGGCTGTGGTATCATCAGGATGCTGCCTTTGCCACCACCATGATGCTGTGAGCATCGTCATGATGCTGTCCGCATCATCACGATGCTGTCGAACTCATCAGGACGTCGTCTCTGCCTTTTTCTGCTAGATATGTAGCGCGGAATCGTACGTGGCTGGTGTCTCAGCATCATCCTGTCAACATCATCGTTTTGCTGATGAGCTTCTATGTAGCGGCTGAGTAGCAGTGGTATTTTCATGATGCTGTCAACATCACCAAGATGCTGTCAACATCATCATCATGCCGCGGGAATTATTATGATGCTGCGTCATGGTTCGTAGCCGTGGTGCGCTATCTGGGGTCTATGCTGGTGTATTTGGTTAAGGCCCCAGGAAAAAAATACATCCAGTAGTAATGAATTCCTTTTAAACCCAACAAGGGAAAAATATTCTTAAGCAAACGGAGGTACACATGGGAAAGGGTAAATGTTGGGGATCATATTCGTGGCGTGTAGCAGGATTTCCAGATTGTACAGCTGTCCCAAACACATCCGGTACAGCTTGTCCTCACGAGGCGTGGCTAAAATTGCTATTTGAGGCAAGACACCTCGCCATCAATTTTAATACATAAAGTTGACCCATATAGGGGTGTCCCTGCGTTTAGTGGGAAATCGTCACTTTTGGAGGGAAACACCCCCTATACATAAGCTGGGGTATGGGGGTAAAATTTACACGTCTCTCGGCGGGAGAGCATATCTCTAGAGTGCAGGGTGAGCTTTTCACCATTTCGCCTGTATCCATCTACATCAGTTAACCGACAGCTGGAACGGCTTGAAAATTGGAACTCCATCGCTCCTTAATGCTGCTTCCTGTCAGCTTCGGATTCATCCGTGAGTTGTTGGAGGTCAAAGCCTTTGTTTGTTGCAAACAAAGAACAGCAACATTGCCTTGAAGTTGATGAAACTCAACCAATAAGAAAGGGACCATCCCTGATTCTAGCTATGATTGCATCATCGTTTGCTACACACCTTCCATTTGCTTAAGCTCCCTGGAAAGCATAATTTCCAGTAGTGATAGATTCCCCTTTAACACCAAAAAGTGAAAATAAAACATATAATTGTTTCGGCAAATGAAAGACACCGCCCATTTGCACAAAGAAGGGCAGTTTAAAAATGGAGGCTCAGCCCCGCTTTAAACTGAGTGATCTGGAGAGTCATAATAAAACAATTCAATTAACCTATTCGAAAAGGGCGCACCAATTTTGGCAAAGGGACTAAGGGACTGTGCCTTCATGACGCTTCATCTACCCGATGTGGTTTGTGTGTGTAGGGGCTCCGCTGAAATCCGAAGCAGACAGGTGACATGCCAGCCACTTTGGGCAGCATGGTGCGTTGTCTCCATCTTGCGGCTGCCAAAGGGACAGCAAATGCTCGCATGGAAAGGGTGTTAGTGGATATCATTGTGCCGGGGACTTCTGTCCACTAACCAATTGACAGGGTGTTCCTCATTCAAATGTGTATACACATATATGATGATAAAACCTATGTGTCACGTCCAAACAGGTATAAATCAAGATGGCAAGCGGACCTCCAAAGATGGCTATCCAATTTCTATGCGAGGGACAAGTTGCTGACCCCACCATCCTTCCCCCCCCCACCTCCCACCCCCCCCCCCCTTTCCCGCCCCCCCCCCCCTTCCTTCCTCCGCCCCCCCCTCTTCCCCCTTCCCCCTCCCCTCTCCTCCTCCCCTTTCCTTCCCCTTTCACCACCCTCCTCCACCCCCCCCACCCCCCCCCCCCCCCTCTTC